ATGTTTATGAAAATTAATAAAATATAATTATAGAAAAAAAAATTGAATAGATCCAGCAGCAGAGTTCCTCTCACCACCAACAAGAAAGAAGTAGGCATGCAATTGACACCCTTTAGGACCAGACATTTTTGGGCCAGCTAGACTTAAAAGCAGCAGCTGCCATGGGTCAATCAGAGAACCTGAGAGTTAACATGAGATGGGTCTGACCTTGGAACTGCTACCCTTCATAGACAGAACCAGAGCTAAGCTAAGAGCCTTTGCCCAAGTTTGATGGACAATGGTGCAGGGGAGCCAATATTGGCAGGACTGGGAACTCTGTAACACTGGTCTTAAGCCATAAAGCCTGTGAGCACATTTCAGATTTTCTGATACTAACCTGGATTATAACCTTTTGAACTCTCCAATACTGTTCTGTGTGGTCTGTGAACTATCACACTGGACTTTGGACCCAGTAAAGCAGTAAGATTGGTGCTGAGACAAGTAGAAAGAGGTTCAGGAGAGTGGAGGGCATGTCTGACTTCATGAACATTGGTTTTCTGTTGTTCATGCTATTGAAAAGGACAGATCCCCTTTGTAAAGCTGGTAATGGTTAGATATGGCTGTCTTCATGTGGCCCTTGATATTTTTACACCTGTCAATGTAATGTTTTAGGACAGTCTTTGGCAAAGTATAGGTAGCCATAAAACCAAATTTGCTTGACAGTCATTATAAATTTGTGCTTTTCAGTTTGGCATGAATTGGCATTATAACTGGTAAACTGTTGCATACCTGTGGATTCATAATACTGCCACAGAACACATTTGATTTTTTTGAATCAGCTCCTTTATGCATTCATTAAGCATATACCATTCTACTTCAAGCTCCTTATCAGATACAGATGTCCTTTTACTAGGAAAATGCTTATCAAGTCTTAAATCCTTCTGGCATCATGGTTGGAAGCATCTCTCTCTTTTTTTTTAAGGAAGCATCTCTTATGGAACATTAAACTCTGTGTCTGTATTCTCTACCTACCCTGACTTAAAAAGGATATTGCAGCACCAATAAACCCTTTTCTTGTAGTTTTATTTACTCTTTCTTCTTTGTAATCATATCTTCCTTATTCTAAAAGTATCCCTGGGCTATATGCTATCTTCTCAAGGGAAGCTGTATATGTTTATTGAATCTGTATCTCTCCTGCAAACTATAGTATGTGCCTAGAAGTGGTGCCCTAGTGCTAAGGAGCTGCACTTCCAACCCAGCAAAAAGGAGTTAAAATCTACCAGTTGTTTCACAGGAGAAAGATGGGCAATTTCTTCCTGTGGAATTTACCATCTCTGAAAACCTGTTGGAAGGTCAGCTACGAGTTGGTTCTGACTCTATGGCACACAACAGCTATTATTTACTGCTATAA